ACACCTCTACCCCGAAATTGACAATTTTGCCTCAGTAATATGTCATTAGAAGTATTGGGAAAAGCATCAAAGCAAATTCAAAGGAGGGTGCGTGAAACACGACGAGGACAAGAGCAGATATGTTGTCCAAATTAGAATCCATTAATTTTGGAAAAAGTAGGACATACGTACACTTCATGCTTGCTAAATCACTTTTCACGCACCATATTTCGTCACTATAGTGAATCATACAAACCTCATGCCATGGGTGAAGGGGGGAGACTACGGTATCAAAAAAAATAATATTTGGTAATATATTGTGGGTTGAAATATAAGTCTTTAGGTTTGTTTACACTAATAAAAATTTGCCACTTTTAAGCTCACATTAACAATTTTTATTGTTCAAATTACAAATTTTGTGGGACATTTATACAAATTTTGTGGGACATTTACAAAGTTTGAGGTTACATGTAATCGATCATAAAAATTTTTAGGATCGATCACAAGTAACCTCAAAAGTTGTAAATGGTCATCAAAACTAAGAAATGACCCTAAAAAATTGTAAGTGACCCTTAAAAATTGTAAAAATAAACCACAAACCCTATAATAACGATATGGTACCATAACTTCTCCTTCGTGAGATCATTTGATCTATGTCATTTTTTATTATTATAATGTATTTTTTGGTGAGTAATTATTATAATGTTTGCATTTAGTTACTTACCCAAAAAAAATGTTTGTATTTAGTTACTTGCCCACCGTACCGTGTAAATATGCGTGTGTTTTATTTTAACTTTGCTCACACTATTGAGAACTTTTTGAAATGGAGTATTTTTGCAATTTTATGATAAACGTTGAACACTGATTGGTAATTGACCATTGGTGCTTTTGACAGTCTTCATATGTGTTATAATTCTCTAATATATACGCTGCATCAAGTCCTATAAACCATAAGGGAAAAAAATATTTAACTTGATGTTTTTAACAAAAATTGAGTAGATGGTTGGTTAGATGTCCTATCTTTGGTCATTCGTAAGGCAAAATCATAATCTTTTGTGTGGTTGGTCCATTTGATTTGATGAAAAATTGGAGATAGATACAGGGAGCAGAAAATAAAACTTTCCACCATTTGATTAAAGAGATGAACGGGGGAGTGAGGAAAATTGGAGAACGTGAAAGCCCATCAAATTATTGTGGAGTTTTTTTGGCCACACAAGTCCATGCAACTTCTTCATTATTGGGGTTCAGAAAATGAATGATTGGTGCCCACATAAATTGTATCACCAATTCCTCCATTCATGTCAAGAACTTCAATTACTTCCATCTCTCTCTCTCTCTCTCTCAATTCTCTGTTGGGAGTGCTCAAAGGGGGGGGGGGGGGTGTCCCTATTTATAGAGACACCCACATATCTCATGAAGGGGGGGTGATTATTTTTGTTTCTTTTAATAATCTCCTTTCAGTTATTATGCTTTCAACCTCATAAAGTCGCCTACAACTAACATTTACCTTAGGAAGGGAAGGCTCACACCATTCCCATTATTCCATTCTATACTTGTGTATAAAGTATCAAAAAAATGTTTGGCAACACAAATCAGGCACAAGTTGGGATTAGTTAGTATTTTTTGTTTGTTAAAGTTGACATCACTTTAAAACATATTATACTGTGAAAATTCAAAACTCAAATTTATAAAACTATTGACATGCGTCACCATCATGCTGCCATGTTTTATAAGTTTTGTGACCTGAGATACTTAGTATTTGAGTTTTTTTATTGAGCGAGTTAATGCAATGTTAGAGGAATATTTCAGACATTATGTCACAACGAACCATAAGAATTGAGTGAATGTACTTAATGTTGCCCAATTCAGCTACAATTTGCATTAAAGTTAGAATAACAATTTTTTTAGATCAATTCACAACTTTTAAAGTATTTTGGAATCGATTTTATAATTGTTAAGATCGCTTCTGACAAATGACCCCAAAAATCTATCTCCAGGTATTGAAAAAATATAAATGATGTCAAAATATTATTAAATTTAAAATAGCGATAGGGTTTTTTTTTGGTGAGTACCGTACTTTTCTACTTCAATAAAAGCAAAATTTGAGATGAAAACGTGCATGGCAGTGGGTAAGGGATCCAGTTATGACTATGAGGTGTTCATTACACGGACAACTGTTTGAAATTCAACTAGTATAAAGCTTCTGTACCCGATGCCCATTAATGTGTGTGTGGTTTAAACCCTCCATGACCCCGCCTGGGGCTAGACTACGGTACGTTCCTTTGGATTTTGGGTATGGTACCTAAAATCGTTGACAGCTGAAAAAAAAAAAAAAAGCACTGCAGAATAATGCAGAAATGGACACGTTAAAGTAAAAATAGGACAATTGAATTGACCTGTTACTCACTTATAATTTACAACAGCAATAAATGAGTTATTTTTCTTGTTAGATAAATTTATGGTGGACATTAAATTTTTAATATTATACTAAAAAATCAAGAGAATGTACCGTAGTCTAGTCTCCCTGCCTAATTAGTACAACATAACAGCGTGTTATTTGGTCTTGTTCTCAGTACAACATAACAACGTGTTATTTGGTCTTGTTCTCGTGCTTTGGTGCGTGATGTTAAGTGATCATTGAGTCCTTAATATGATAAAAGAATCGGATGTTCGTCACGTGTACACTTCAAATCTTATAAAAACCTATAATCGATTTCACCGGTTCCGGTATATACTTTAAAAAATTTAAAATGATAATTATTTATTATATTTAAGCATGAAATAAAAATATAAGAAAAAATTTACAATTGGGGTTATTGAGTGAACATGAACATGAACATGTACCCTATACACTTTAAAAAATTTAAATATGAACCCTTATACACAATAAAAATAAGTGAACATGAACCCTTATACACTTTAAAAATAAGTGAACATGAACCCCTTTACATTTTAAAAAATTTAATCATGAACCCTATACACTTTAAAAATAAGTGATAATAGAAATTAAAATGATAATTATTTATTATATTTAAACATGATATAAAAATATAAAAAAAAATTTACAATAGTTGGGGTTATTAAGTGAACATGAACATGAAATCCTATACACTTTAAAAATAAGTGATAATAGAAATTAAAATGATAATTATTTATTATATTTAAACATGAAATAAAAATATAAGAAAAAATTTACAATATTTGGGGTTATTGAGTGACATTAAATATATCATTTTAGATTAAGTTAAAAATATTAGGAGGTTAGATTAGATTATCTAAGTTCACCACTATTTTAAGTGATGATAGAAATTAAAATTAGTTTTAAAAAATGATAGTTATTTATCATATTTAAACATGAAATAAAAATATAAGGAAAATTTTACAATATTTGGGTAAAATTGCCATTTGTTGGGATTATATTTTGGGTTAAGTTAAAATTAGGGGTATAAGTGAAATTTATTGGACATATCTTGAATGATCGAGATTAGCCCGTAACAACGTGATCGAGATTAGTTCAGCGAAATTATTTTGTAACTTGATCGCTACCGATCGTTACATACGCGATCGAGATTTTTGTTAGCGATCAAGATAAGAGATTACTCCAAAGTCTCAAAGTTGATCACTCAAGACTCTTAAGTCTCTCTCAACTCCCCTGTCTTCTATTCCCCCAAACTCCTCAAAACCCTAAATCAAAACCCTAAATCAGCGATCAAACCCCAAATCTAACCCAAATGGGTGAAAAATCAACCTGATTGCATACCAAAACCCTAAATCACAACCATTTTTGGATCAACCACCTCCCAAATCAGTGAAAACCCAAACTGGTGAAAACCCAAAACACCAAATCGGTGAAAACCCAAAACCCACTCCCATCGCCTTCATCTTCTCCAAGGTTCTTTCTTCTCTCTCTCTCAATTTCATCATAGTTTTGTATACATAGTTGTCTCTCTCTGTCTCTCTCTCAATTTCATAATAATTTTGTACACATGGGTTGAGAATTATGTTTTTTGTGAATGATGGTTTATTGCTATTGCTCAAAAGTTGCTCAATTGTTAATTGTTATTGCTCAAAAGTAATAGATAATGTTCCATGTTATTGCAGATTTTTTTCTTGTTACAACAAAGTATAATGACCAAGAAGTATAGGCCAAAAGTTGATACCAATGAAAAAATGAAGAGGAAGGAGAGCTGTAATGAGGGAGGTCCCTCGAAGAAGAAGAAATGTAATCATCCTCCCTCCGTTGATCCGTTCTCAATAGTTAATCCCACCTCCACCAATCCAATTGATCCCTCATTCAATACATCAAGTTCACCCAACCCCAACCCCAATCCAACAAGTTCATCCAACCCCAATCCAACAAGTTCATCCAATGAAGACATATCTTTCTTCAATGATGATTGCAAACATCGGTATGATAATTGCTTTTATAATAGACCTTTGTTATTGGAGAGGGGTGTTGTACTGGATGAATTAAAAGATGTAGGATTAGATGTTATTTTTTCTCTTCATTGATGGAATTCTTCAGTTCATATCAAGAAGATGGATAAAACATATAATACATTGGTGAAGATATTTTATTCTAACCTGCATGATATTGATAAAGTTAATCACAAGTTTAAGTCCCTTGTGAGGAAGGTGAGTTTTGAAGTAACCCCAGATTTAGTTTCAAAAATATTGGGAGTTCACCGACCCTTCCTTCATGATGATACACTTTCTTATCCATTCAATAATTCTAAGCACATACCTAAGTTGGAAGATGTTTATACAGAAATCGAGGGTATACCTAATAATTTTAGTGAGAGTGTTACTGATCCATCATTTTTTCAGCAACACCTGACTCCTAAATATAGGATTTTAAACCTTATAGTGGGGTACAATATTCGTCCAATTGCACATAATGCTAATTTTGGACTTGATCAAGCTTATCTCCTGTATGTCATTGGAATGGGTATGAGTATAGATCTACCTTGTTTAATAATTGATGAAATTATTTTGGCACACGGTACGAATGATAGACGAAAATGTCTCTCATTTTCAATTTTAATTTCAAAGATTATGGAGGATTGTGGAGTTGTCACTCAAGCGATGCTTATTCTACTCCCATGAATCCAATTAATGGTGGGACAATAAAAAAGAGTTTGGGACAAGGGAAGAATAAGAAAACTCAGCCACAACAGCCACAAGTTGAAATCCAGAATGAAGTTGCACCTGAGGATAATATTGCAACCCAAGCTGTCCCAAATTCTTCCACAAGTGGTCTTCCTTCATTGGATGAACGATTGTCTATATATGCATCTGTGATGATACGAATGGGAAGAATGATGGAGGAATTTGGAAATGCTCAAAATGAAATAAAGGAGTCTCTCAAGGTGATTGATAGTAGGTTGGATAAAATTGATAGTAGGTTGGATAAAATAGATAGTAGGTGGGATAGAATTGAGTCTTTTTTTATAGAAAGCAAAGAAATAGCTAGGCAGTGAGAATTATATGTAATTGTAGTTGTTGGTTGTTGATACAATAGTTGAAGTAGCAGTAGTGAAATGTGATGAAACAAATATATGCATACGGATTTTCATCTCTCTCTCTCTCTCTCTCTCAGTTTTTGTGCATTATTCACTAAAGACATTTCTTATTATTCAGTGAAAGGTGGTGATAATATTATCTATTTTTCACTTTGTGATGATGAGGAAATATCCTACAATGTACAAGGAATTAATGTGATTGTGCCGTATTGTTTCCTTTGTTGTATATAATACCCGTGTTATTATTTTCAACCCTTTTGTTTTGCGGATTATGGTGGATTTGAGGAGTATTGAGAGAGACAAAGAACGGTCCAGTCTTTTAAAGGATCATGTAAAGAATTCAATTTTAAACACCGAGGTTGATCTTCTCATTATAGTTTATTTCTGGTGCTTGGTGTTGTCACCATTGTGTCTAGCAGTGAGACTGAAACAAGGAACAAATTGTCATTAATGTTCTTGTTTGGAATTATGTAATTTTTTTTTAGTCAGGACTGTTGAGGGCTTTATGGGTTGTGCTTGACATTTGTTGTGTCTTTTGGAACAAATTCAATTTTTGGTGAGCAAATTACAGTTTACTTTGGATCATGTTGATAGAGAAGCTGATTTTCCAATTTAATGAATTTTCAAGCTGATTATACAGTTTCAGGCTGAGAATACAGTTTACTTTGGATCATGAATTATACAGTTTATTGAATTTTCTATAAGTGGCCAGCTTCCAGTGTTGTCAGGCAGAGGCTGCAGGATCAACGAGGTCTTCGTATTTTGTGCACTAAGACTTCTATGGTATTTGATGATAAAGGTTGAATAAGTGTTTGCTAGGGTGTTGTATGCAGTGAACTGGAGTTGGTATCCTGTTGCTGTTGAGCTATTGCTATTGGGCTTAGTATCCTGGAGCTGCTGAGTTACTGAGCTAGCGTTGCTGATTGCTGGGCTGGTCTTGGAGTGTTGAGCTGTTTTTGCAGAGCCTCTGATGCTGCAAAGCTGTGGTGTGGGCTGATTCTGAGCTGTCAATATCCTGCTGGATTTGGAGGGTGGAAGCTGAAGAGTTACTACTTGGCGTATTTTCAGCTGGTTCAGGAAAATGTACCAGTTTTATCTGGTTTTTGTCTCAGAATTTGCAACAGAAAATCCGTTACAAAAACAGAAAATCTATTTTTTTGTAACAGTTATTTTTGGTTTTGTTTTCTATAAACAGTTACTTTTTTATTTTGGTAAAAACAGTGTCTGTAGTAATATGTTCCTCAAAAGTGGTAATCCTCCCTAAAAAATGATGATATTACCCAAAAAAGTGATAATCTTGCTTCAAATAATGGGTAATCTTATAGAAAAAGGTGGTATTCTTATCAAATACAAGTGATAATGTTACACACAAAAATGTTGTAATCTTAACCACCCCAAAAAGTGGTAATGTTAACAAAAAAAGTGGTACTCTCAACAAAAAATCCATGGTAATGCTAACCAAAACAATATTAACCAAAAAAGTGGTAGTGCTAACCTAATCAATGGTAATGTTAACCAAAACAGTGGTACTCTTAACCAAAAAAGTGGTACTCTTAACCAAAAAATAGTGATACACTTAACCTAATAAATGGTAATGTTAAACAAAATAGTGGTAATGAAAACCAAAAAGGTTGTAATCTTAACTTAAACAGTGGTAATGTTAATCAAAAAAGTTATACTCTTAACCAAAAAAATGGTAATGTTATCAATAAAAGTGATACTCTTAACCAAAACAGAGGTAATGTTAACAAAAAAAATGGTACTTTTAACTAATGGTAATGTTAACTAAAAAAGTGGTATTCTTAACTAAAAAAATGATAATATTAACAAAAAAAGTGGTACTTTTAACCAAAATAGTGGTAATATTAAATAAAAAAATGATACTCTTAATCAGTGGTAATGTTAACCAGAAAAATGGTAACATTAACAAAAAAAAGTGGTACTCTTAACCAAAAAAATAGAAATATTAACAAAAAAAAAAAATGGTACTCTTAATAAAAATGATAATGTTAACCAAAACAATGATAATCTTTCCCTCAAAAGAGGTAATCTTACCTCAAATAATTGGTAATCTTACCAAATAAAAGTGATAATGTTACAACTAAAAAGTTGTGGGAATGCACAATAAAACATATTTCGTTCGGCATTGGGGCATGAAAAATCATGGCTATGGTTTAGACTGTTATAATAACTCATAATAGTAAAAATTAACAAGCAATACTCACCAAAGCAACAAAAAAGCGAAGAGGGAAATATGTTTTAACAAGCAATACTCAACTCATAATATGTTTTTCCTGCCCTCTTCTTCGTCCAAAAAAGCGAAAAAAAAAACTTGGAATGGAGAATGTAAATCAAACCTTTTCATTCAAAGTTGCAAAAAAATTAAAATTTCTTCAACCCATCTAGCTCCATGATCTTGGTGCCCACTATGATAGCATAAATTGATGGTTAGATGACAATGGTGGAAAAACAAAATTTGTGAGATAAAATTTGTAATTTTTGTAATTACCTCCATTGAAACTAGTGTTGATGTACTGTGATTGAATGGTAGAATCAAA